CCTTCCCTCCCTCCCTCCTCCCTCTTCGCAAGTTCGACTCCGTCCTGTCGTCGCTCTTTGGCATGCGGTTAGCGTTGCGTATCTTGCGGCCGCACTCGCTCACTCTCACTCTCACTCTCACTGTCTCACTGTCTCACTGTCTCACTGTCTCTCTCTCTCTCTCATCTCTCTCATCTCTCTCATCTCTCTCATCTCTCTCATCTCTCTCATCTCTTTCTCATCTCTCTCATCTCTCTCTCCTCTCTCTCTCTCTCTCCTCTCTGTCTCTCGTCTTTCCGTCTCTCTTCTCTCTCTTCTCTCGCAGGAGGATCCGGGCAAAGAGCCACATATAAAGGACTCTTCACCCCTGCCTCCAAAAAGAGCGCCGTGTTTTTTCCTACCTCGCTGCCCTCCACTTTCCCATTCTGGAGCGCTAGCTTTCGCCCCCCCCCTTGGCCTCAAGTTTTTCAGAACGTCACTTCCAGACCCACACCAATCCAAGGGGTGCGAGTCACTCGTTTTCCCCGGTGGCAGCCACCACGCCCGAGGGTTCCCTCGGGTGCCTTGACGGCACGGGGTCGACCCAAGAGCCGGCCTGCACGCTCGGCCTTCGCGAAGGCCGCGGGGCGAGAGGGCTTGTGGAAGATGGGGCACCTGCAGTCATCCCTGGCCCCTGGGAAAGAGCATCTCAAATACCTGGAGTGAAAATCCTGCATCTCGATGTTGACTGGTTTGGAAGAGTCGAAACCCAAAGCCAAGCTGCCAGAGACAGAGAACAATCCGAGTAGACGGCAAAAGACATTGCATGTCACTTGCACGGTCTCATTGGTTGTTCAGAAAGCAGGATGCTTTGCTGCCGGAGGCATGCTGCCCTTCTCCAAACTCCTGGTGTTGGTTTCTGCCATAAGCAGGCAATGATGATCCTTGTTGGCCCTCACAACATGAACGGCAAGCAATTTACTGTAGTTTGTCTCAGCAGGACCGAACCCACCTTCTGAGGGTCTTGATCCGGTCTAGACGAAGGTGGCCACGAGAGAAACCCAGCAGTAGGCGGCGGGACGAACCAACCAACTCCTTTTGAGTGTGCGCCGGGTGAATCCGCTGCCAGCGCACCACGGAAGAAGCGGGTGTGAACTACTTGAAGGATGCCAAGGACAGTCATCATTTGCATGGTGGAAGGGGCACAGATTTGTAAGACGAGAAAAACAAAAGGGCATATGTTGCGTATTGGGTCCAAGAAGACCAGTCTGGAGGGCTTGCTTTGAAGTGGCTTTCTCAGGCGCTTGAGAGACAATTTACGGTTCTATATAGTAGTTTCCGTCAACTTTATTTGCATTCTGATCTTCAAACCGTCACAGAAAGTCATTCAAAGTCCAATGATGACATTGTTCCTGCAACCTAATAGCGATGGCCTCCAGAAACTCCGAAGTTGCCAGTGATTTGCTTCGCCATGAAATTCCGCCGACTTTTTGGACCTTTGCTGAAGTGATTTCTTCTGAGTTTGCTTGGGGATCTATTTGGGGGTGGGTGACTTGGGGCTTCCGGGCATGGCTTCAAAGCATGGCTGAGTGCGCACTGCAGGTTGGCTCGGTCACTGGCTACATCATGGTCTCTGGTACCATCGTTGGGCTTCCGCACCGAGCGAGTGGGCCTGGTGAGCCCAGAGCGAGTGGGCCTGGCGAGTCGAAGTCGACAGCGGAGATTATATCTCTATTGGTGTCTGGGGTTGGCCTGAAGATATGATGCTTGAAGGGGACACCACATCTGGAGAAGGCAGCAGGGATTAAGGCTTCCTCAACTTGGGCAGCAAACACTTTGGGTTTCAGTTGGGTAAGAGTAGGACCATTATGGCAAACTGATTGAAACGGTGCTTGCGCCTTCAACCTTTTATCTCTTTTCTCAAGCCAAGGACGCGAGCAACTACACCCAGGACGGACGGACGTACGAGGCAGCTGCAGAGTTTTATATATATATATATAATATATATATATATTTGTATAGCATCCCCGCCGTGAGAGCTAAATCTTTGGGGCCTGGCTCAGCATTGAGGAGCAGATGGCCATACTCTCCTAGGAAAACAACCCAAAGTGCAAATCCAAGAACGGTGATTGCAGACAAACGAGATTTTGTCCACAAGACCTCAACAGGTCATGAATTGACGATACTTTTTTGGAGCCCCCCGGAGGTCTAACAGAGATTGGTCTTTCCGAAACAGTTCAGCCGGTACAGGACCCGCTTTGACGCGATCTCCGAAATGGTGCGGCCCATTCCGCGCGTTTTTGTGGGCGGACTCCATTTTTTCAGACTTTCTTATGGGGTTGTAAAAGGGAGGACGTGATGCTCTTGTCCTTGCTTTGCTTCTTCGGCCAAGAGGTGGCGCGAAAGAAGCCGTGCTCCAGCAGCGCTTCAGTTGGTGAGATCGTTCCGAGAAAACCAAAGTTGCCCTCCAAGGATTCGGCTCAAGAGTTGTTTTGGGATATTTCTAGGGGTCATCCCCATCATCCCGTGCAGATCTGGAATCTCTACTCATGCACAACAGCGGATAGACTCGGATAGACGGAGAACTCAACACTGCAACAAGGCTTGTCTTGACACAAAGCCATCAACGAAGCTTGGAATCGCGCTCGAGAACTGAGCTCTCGCCCGCTCCTCCAGGCAGGGACAAGTGGGGGATGCTTTTTGGAGGGTCGCCTGGGCAGCTCCAATCGCCTCATGGGCTCTGTGTTAAGCCAAGCAGGCCTGCTGTGGTAGAGGCTGGTGTTGGACGACTGTGCGTTTACGGACTCGAAGACGGCCCATTTATGTGGGGACAGGAGAGAAGGGAGAATGTTGTCACTCTTAGGCACCGCAAGGGATACAACATACTGACTTGGGGGGTCGGACTTGGACTCGACACCACCCCCGCCAGCACGGCGCCACCCGGGCGACACGCCGACACCGCGACACCTGGTCGCCGCTGCCGCTCTGGGCTCGGACGAGGGGGGAGGTGCGGATCGGTTGGTCCGCTCCTCCGCATCTCTGTGGCCTGGCCGCGTGAAAACGTGCCAGGCTGGACACCGTGCTGTTTCTTTTCTTTTGGGTGGTTTGTGCTGGGGTGGGGCTGTGAGGGAATTTGGAACAGATCGTGAGTTGATGGTTACTTGCTATGATGTTGATGTTCAAAAGCAAGGAACTCTTGAATAGCCACATGGAGCCACGACAAGCGATATAGTTACTACCTCTTGCTTCATTGTTGAGGAACTGAAGAGGGGAGGGGTAGCCGACTTCTTTCACTAATCGTGAGTCAGGCAGAATGCATGTAACGACAAGGCTTGCACACCAAGAGGGGCAGGGGCGATGTTTTTGCATGTTTAAGATTCAAGGGGGTATTTCAGGTTTGGCTCAAACATGTGTTCCAAGCGGCAAAACGGACAGACGTGTTCCCAAATGCCTCCAGTGCCCGGCTGCCACGGACGTCGCCATGGACCCGGCAGCTTTGAAGGCTCGGCTCCAAGCTGATCAGGGAAACCAGCGTGCGAAACAACGAAGCCCTGCCGAGCTAACCCGGAGCAAAGGTTCTGTGAAACGGTTGGAGACACAGTGGGTACCTACCTGGTGGGATGCCAGTTGCTCCGCCATGCACTGGACGTTGAATGCCTGAGCGGCGCCACAGACTGCTGAAAAAGGTGACAGACCAGTTGCTGAAAAATGCCTGGTTACCATGAAAAGTGCACTTCTCACCCGATCCTGATTTGTTTCCACATTGGAAGAGAGAGAGAGAGAGAGAGAGCGTCAAGATATGAAAGGACACTGCCATGAAAGGGGCTTTGTATGGTGTGATGATTTGCCATTGAAGGGGAGCGGCTGGCATCTGAGCCCGACGACCGGCGGAGGGAGTCCCTGTCATGAGAGGCGCCAAGACCACCACAGAAGGCGCCCGCGGGGTCGCACCGTTGAACGTGGGTTCGCCGTGGCTCTGTGAAGGTGCATCTGGATCGACTGTTCAACCTCTTTCGACACGTTGGGGGCGTGCACGTCCGCCGATAAGCGGACCTTCCACTGCTCCTGGCAGGCTGATGATCAAATGGATCAGCGCATTGGGCAACGTTCTTTTTTCAGGAAGTACCGATGTGGTGCGTGTTGAGAGCTTTACCAAGGATCTCCAAGGACTTTGATAACACGATGAGCAAAATTCTGTCTTTTGTTCGGGAATGAGATCAGAGAGAAGCAGAAACAGGAGATTCTGAATATTCTAAATGCAGCTGCTGTGGAAGACGAGAACTGGGGTTTGAAGGGTTCTATATAGAAGGACCCACGGCTAAATCAGGTTTTCCACCGCACGAATGACTTGGCGGACATGGTCGCAGCAAGAGAAGCTTTGCGTTTCGTACCAGACATCCAACAGTATTGGAAGGTGCTTGGCACGCCTGATGCGGTAAAAGAAGCAAAGAGGTCAATCCTTGATTTGTCATACGATGACAGTGACAGCGTTACATAAGAGGTAAGAGCTGTCATGAGGGGTTTGGGTGAATGTCTCCGTGGGAGGCGTTGGCCTTTCCAAAGGCCTTCACCTGAAATCAGGCTTGGTTTTTTCATACGGCCGGGACGTGGGACTTTGATGGATTGGGGTCGGCAGACACTGAAGATCGTTGCAATCATGGGTAGTATTTATATATATATATGTATATATATATATATGGATCGTTGGTGTGATGTGTTGATCACTGCAATCTTGTTGCTCACGTCTGTGTTTGTGAACCGCACACTGTGAACCACTGACTGGTGTGTCTCGAAGAAGGATCCCTGCCTGCAGGTGCCCGTTTAATGCTGGTCTGGGCTGTTTGTCCGGCGGCCTGGTCTGTGCTTCTTCTTTCGGAACAGAGAGGACCTCCGTGGTCGAGGCTGAAAGAAGCTGCTGCCAGACGAAGGCCCCAAAGAGGCAGGTCATCGGTGCTGGGCTGTTGAGCTCAAGAGTTGACACTTCAAGAGCAGTTCTTTCTGAAAGAGCGATGGCCTCCAACCCAAGAGCGATGGCCTCCAACCTAAGAGCGAAGGCCTATTCTTGCTGAAAGATAGGAAAGGAAACAGATTTGCTCCAGGCTCCTACTACAAGGCCGAACTACTTGTCGCTGCAGGCTCAATCATGGAGGAATCACGCCGCCTGAAGCCCTTGCCTTAGATATTAGCAAAGTACACGGTGCACAGATGGTTTGGAATTGGTTTGCCAAACCTGGCCGCGTGGCCCAGGTTATGCTACATTGGGGCGTTGTTGGGCCTAATTACTTTGTGTCTCCGGCTCAAGTTTCGAGGTTGGAAGCTTGGTGGTGGCCCTGAGGTTTTCTTCAACCCATGAAGAATGTTGGAATCTACAACATTCGAGCATATTCCTCAAACCACTTCCAGTTTAAAGAAAGGCCTCGGAGTCGAGACGCCAACTCGACTGCGAACCGCGGTTCGCGCTTCGCGGTTCGTCGACGTTTGTGGCCAGGACCATTGTGCGCTTCAAACTCTTCGAGGATCCCCACGGAGTAGGGGCCTCAGAAAACCCGTGCTATTAGGTTGGACACCATCGCTCTTAGGTTGGGCAGAGAAGGAACTTGGGGTGGCTGGGGTTCCCAGGAACTTCATGTAACTTGGGGGGATCGCCTGAAACAAGAAAAAGAACTGCTTAGGAGCGCCGGTGTGGAGGGAAGTGTTGACTGAAGAGATGTTGTCCAACACAACCTGGTATGCTGAAAAGACTGGAGAAGATTTGGGCGGGGAGGGAATGAATTCCATCTTGTGGGGCCCACGCAGTCACGCAGAGACAGGGCTCATATTTGAATGATCAACTCAGACCATTGTTTTTTTTTTTCTGCTTTTCAGTTTTTTTTTTCCCAACGGTTGTGGCGTAGTCTCATGGGTTTGGCTCCAGGGTTGGGGCCGTTGTTGGCCGTTGAGGGTCAAGAGCTTCTTTTTGCGACTTGCACAGGTGAGCCTAGATACCTGAATACAGAAGCCCTCTGAAACTGATTAAAGGAACCTTGCAAAGTGACCACAGGATTCGTTGTGTCGACTTGGCTAATGTTCAGGCGATGTTGCTCATGCTGGTGGACATCCTTGCTATCTTGGGACTTTTTCTTGACAGTGACTACGACATGTTTGGACCCCAGCCACGGTTTGGGGGTTTGGCTTCAACATGCTCAACAAAGCTTTTGGAGATTGTCATTGGCCTTTTTGCAACTCTGGTTTCGGGAATTCCGTGAAACTAACTCTTGGAGAACAATCCAATCTGCGGTTTGCGAGCTAACATCCACCATTTTATTTCAGGGTCCTCCAGAGAACAAGCGCTTGGGGTAGTCCCAGTATCTAAATGCATCCCCCCTCGGCAAAGGAAAACAACCATGGATGAGAAACGATCGGCGCTTTCGCCGTTCGACCGAGGCAATGCTGCAAGAATTGCGGTTTGGACGCCCTGGCGACTGTGGACGAGAGACATTATATAAAAAAAGAACGCAACCGAGCCAGGGACGTATAGGGACCAAGCATATAGATGCAAGCGTTTCTTTTTTGTTGTCCTTTTATATGTTTTTATAAGTATTTACAGTGTTTCAGTTTTTTGATGAATGCTAGTAATGATAGGTGCTGCAAGCTTGCTTCATTGATTGATCCGGCCATAGTCTGATGGAGTATGAATCATTGCAAGCATTTCGCCGTGGTTGGTCACACATTCTGGTGGCATTCAGGCATCATGGCCTTCATCGGTGGAGCACTGGTGGGTGCTCTCAGCTTGGATAGGTCTTTTCAGAAGAACCCTCTCAGCGAAACAGCAACATCAATGCGCGCACACCGCGGATAGAGATCAACAGGCGGCTTGCCCTCCCAGTGTGTCTTCTGCGTGCCCAGGATCTTAGCATTGCCATCGAGACCTTCGGGAAAGCTCGAGAGGTAGAGGTGCACGGGGCCCACGGGGAATCTTGGGATGTCTATCCCATCATTGGATTCTCCTATCTATGATGAGCTTGTTTGACCGAATGCATCTATATAACGCCATGCCATGGCGTTAGATGCAATGATTAGCGTACAGAATCTCAACGAGAGAATCTGACTGTCGGAGGTGGATTTGTTCTCCCAAATCCATCCATTTGATAACAGCGCTATGGTGACAAGCACGTGTGGGCAAATTTTCATGTCATATTTCCAGAGTCTAATGTTGATGTCCAAACATTTGACCAGGAGTTGAACCAAGATGGCGTTGGTGGCAGGTGGTTTCTTTGTTGGACAGTTCAAGTTCTCTATTCGTTGGAGAGTCGCCAGTTCTCGTGGACGAATACGCCCCACGTCTGGATGTTCTTCCTGGCCCATTTGGTCTCGGTCTTGGTTGCCGAATAGTTTTAGCAGACTGGAGAAGAGGATGCACACGGAAAAACGCAGAGAATCGGAAAGAGATGTGCTTTGCCTTGTTTTGCCACATCTGCATGGTACTGCGTCCTGAGTTACTAGGGGTCTGGTGAGACTGAGGCCTATGCATCAGCAGAGATCGTGGCTTTGGCATTCGGTGGATTGGTGAGTGGAGATTAGCACGCTGATTGATAGATCCCAAATGTTACACTCCGACTCACTAACACCCCCCCGGTTGGAAAGGAAAGTAGCCTTCCAAGGGCCCATTTTCCACTTCCATGTTAGTGAGTCAGAGTGTATGTGTTTGTGCTTGGTATCCAGAGACAGAGGAACTTCACGACTTGCAAAAAAGAGCCAAAACTGTGACTGAGACAGCACTCTGCATCAGCACACAAGATGACATCCCTGACCGACGAGGCAAACAAATATGACTCTGTATAGGAAGAGGAGTCCTCGAAAAAGAGAACCCACAATGATTCAATCCTCCAATTCTGCAGATGCTGCTGCTTAGCCTTGCTGCTTAGCCTGCTTGGAGTGACAAATCCAAAGGGAACGTCTTGGTTCGGACTCCCCTGATGTGGTCCGATGTGGGATGTGGCCCGAGGCTTGGGCTTTGCTGTGTTACTTTGCAGTGCACTCAGAGTGTCTGCTGTTGTTTGAGAAGCAGACTTGCAGGATTTGGAATGACTTGGAATGATTTGGGTGTGTTTTCAGAGCTGGCAGTCCAGGTGTGCCAGCGGATCGAAGAGACCTGGGAGACCGCCGACGAGGTCTATGTGGCCACCCAGGACGGGTGGAGCTCGTTGAACAACCTAATAGCAATGGCCTCCAAACGAATAGCGATGGCCTCCAACCTAATAGCCATGGCCTCCAAACGAATAGCAATGGCCTCCAACCTAATAGCCATGGCCTCCAAACGAATAGCAATGGCCTCCAACCTAATAGCGATGGCCTCCAACCTAATAGCAATGGCCTCCAAACGAATAGCAATGGCCTCCAACCTAATAGCAATGGCCTCCAAACGAATAGCAATGGCCTCCAA